TATAACGTCCAATTAATTAAACGTATTTGCATATGCTAATTTTAGTTAAATTATGTGAGACATATATAGATTTAAAGTAACAATTAATCTGACAGGATTATACACCGTTATAAAAAGAATGGATCTATGCGATTGATCGTTAATTGCGATCATCGTGATCACCACGATCATTGTGTGCGGAGAGAATAAGGCATAAATTATATATCGATTAAAAAGATTAGCATCTCGCAACTTATTAGTGATGATATCCGCGATATAGGTTCGCGCACTGTGAATCGATCGAGAGTCTCGAAAATGAAAGTATACCATATGCCGTATGGGAATAAACTGACGCGGTGCACTTGGGAAGGAAAGAGAAAGAGAGGGAGATTGCTATGTGTAAAGCCCTTTGAACATTGTAGCGGGACGAAGAATTACAAACGAGGAAGAAACGCCGGATGATCGAATGTCGGACGGAGCAGGTGCCTCGGCAAAGTTACCCGTTTTACTTTACCGTCGCACTTTATTTTGTATTCTATTCCATTTCATTGCGCGATACCTCCGCAAATCAATCATAATCTGATATCGCCACGGTCGCCGTTATCGTTTTGCTCATGTAATTGTGTCGTCGTACCCCCTACATATTTAATAGCAATAATCGCAGAACATAAGCGTAGCACCGTATACATATGTACATAAATGAATAAAACGAACACCGTTGGCTTCTCATTTCACCTTAATACTTAATATTTCAACATAGACTTCGATATCGAGATTATTACATCACATTTTAATTTGTTCTGGCAAAACTTAAGAACAATAAGATTACGTATAATTTATACTGCTCTCTGGGAAATTTATATAAATTTCATAGACACCGAAAGATTACGTGATTTTTATTATCACCGCGGGTCTGCTCGAAATAGAAATGGTAGAAAAGAACGCCATTATCGGCCGAATTCTTTTAATCTGATATTCTTTTAATTTTCTTGAATACAATTTATCGTGCGCGCGATCGCTTCTTTTACGATGTAATTTTTAGTATTATTACCGGCATAGACATTGACGCGACGTCGACAATAGTCAAACGCGGTTCGATCTGGCACCTAATTTCTCGTTCTTCCCGACAGCAACATAAACTGATAATGAGGATACGGATCGTACCCAATAAATACTTCTGATGACTTGGTCGCTGCCATAAGGCTTCGGTCTTCAGACTTCGAAAACCCTTTCCTATAATCTACTGGAAGGAGGCTCACCATTAAAGTCAAACGGCGCCTTCTCGACTTCCTAAGGAATGCTATGCCCTTTTTTCTAAAGAAAACTATCTCTCCGGTTGAGCATTCAAAATAAACATTATTATGAAAAAAATCTTCAATTGATTTTGATATTTATTTTTTATTATTCAAGTGAGTTTAAGGTATTACATTTAAAACAATGATACAAATATATAAAACACGCATATTATGTCAATAAATTTGATTTTACTTTCGTATTTAATATACATAAATATATATAATGCATAAAACCGTTTAAAAAAAGCGTTACAGAGATAGAGAGAGCTATAAAAAGATCGTATGAAGGAACACACACTTATACTTTGGGTTGCTTTGACCTATTACAACACGTAACGAACGGTGGTCTCGATCGGCAGTGTGTCCCCAAATTTGGATCAGGGAAATGTGGTAGTCGTATGTCACTCGGGACAAACGGACAGCTGCTTTCGATCGGTGGCAAATATCTTATCGGACCGTTTCGTGTGACGATACGTCGTCGTTAAATGTGGAGGTTGAGAAAAGAAGGAACTGCGGTGAAAACGAAATCTCTCAAAGGCGCATTTATCAGACGATTTACAGCTTTCAGCAATTTCTTGCGGTGACAACGACCGGTTCGTAATTTGTTTGCCCGTATTGTCACTCATTAGCAGATATATCAGCTAAGAGTTATGTACAACGGAAAAGAAGGTCGCGTTGTGTCGCGAGAAATCGACACCATGTCGCTTCTATGATATATGAGACAACCGGATGAATCTTAACCATGAGTGTGATTTCAGAGTGATAACATATAGGTACGCCCGATTTTTTAAAGTCTCATTTGTAATCATCAAATAATGTAGCGCCGTCCCAGTATTTTGGATATCTGCGTCCAGATTCCGTGTCATATATTTTTTATCGCTTTTATGTATTTTCGCAACAATTAAATTCAGGTATGAATATATGTATATCTGTTAGAAGATGGTTGTTTACACACGTCTCTGACTGATTTTTTAATCAATTCAAAACAGATCAATAATGCATCGTATCATTGATTAATTTGATATAATCTGATGTGAATTAATTAAAGATTACGACGCTCACGCAAAACGTTTAGGAAAATTTGTAGCGTGTCCGTCTGAATTTTTATTTTTTTAATTGCTCCAAGTTAAATACCGTCGGATTGTAAGTTGTTCGTCTTTGAATTATATAAGACGCAAGCATAATTCCTATTATAATTTTGTTCCCTGCTATTGATTTAATGCCGTTGCAAAGACGGGCCGGACGTGATATTACGAAATAACGTATTTCGCGAGGCGAAAATAAAATATCTTAGCGTTATACAATCGAGCGATCACATAGTCGTCGAATAGATATTAGCGTCCCGTAGCATTTGCTTAGCGATGCACCGCCGACAGCACTTACGTTCTTCGCAAGATTCTCGTGTCTCCTCCCGCGGGATATTTTGGCTCACATAGCGCGGATAATCCGGCTTAATGTCCTCCTTGACGTGAATGAGAACGGCGCTCGTTTATCGCGAGCGAATGCGCCGAGATCTTGTCCTGTCCTCGCTCGCGCCGAAATTCGATGGAGAATGTCTCAACGGACATACAGTAGGCAGATGCTACCAGAAATCCCATTGATACTTTTGATGTCGCGAAACGAACGACTGACCCTGCTTGGTAATCGTCTTCAATCGATATTCGGTAGTTATTCGCGAGATCTTTTTTTCTAATAGTTGATTAATTTTATTTTTGCTCTGTGTATTTATGATGAATTTGAAAAACTTATCAAATAATTTTTCTCCATTATTTGACGTTCTTATTTTATTCTTTAAAGACTTTTACAGTCAATAGTTTACTTTTTATTCGTTTACTTATTGAAAAAATGATTTATTATACATTTGATCAAACACATAGCACATCCTTGCCCTTAAATTGAAGCGAAGAATTAGGAGTTAGAAATTTTTTTGTTTGCTGTTATTAATGACTATTTATTGCTGAACTTATAGAACTTAAACGTACCGAGACTCCTTGTTTTGTATACTGTTGTCTTTAAATATATACATCGTAATGTCTCGAGGTCTGTTAATATATTTTTTAAACTTGAGCTCTTAGCAGCTAATCATGGTAATGAAATTTTTTGTTGCAAAAAATTCAACATTGAAATGTGCCAACTAGTTTGAAGGTATAATAGCGGTTCTTAAATATTTTTATAAAATTCTATAATTTCGGTGCGATGGAACTTGGAATCATATTACAAAGGAAGTAACAGTATGTTGAACACTTTTTGTGATAGACATAAGTATTTTATTGGTAATATATTATGTGCTAGATGTAAATATATTCTAATAAATATAATGATATAAACGTGTAACATTTTAATCTTACGTCTATAATCATTATTGTTGAATTGTATTAGTTTTTACTACGAAAATTTTGGAATCATGATAACGATACGAGTATGATGTATCTTATACATTTAAACGTGTAGTATATAGTGTTATATTTTTGGAAAACTCACACATATGAAAGCACTTATTACACATTTGGATTTGAAGTGTACATATGAGCCCCTTATTTTTCCTAATTTTGGACTTATGCCACTTATCAATTAAGGGGCTCATATAATGATACTAATTAATCAAAGTGCATGTATTATATATTATTTTTTAGATTTTTCAAAGAAGCATTTACAATACAAAAAAGTATTCAGCATTATATACTACATTAATTTTTATTATACATGATTGGCGCGTGCAGGACGATAGATATATAAGCACAACTCCGATGTAATCCCTCGTATGGAATCTCGATGCGCGGCTCTTCTCAAGAAAAACATGTCGCACGTAATTTTCATTGTAAAACCGGCGAGCTACATGTCCGGATTCCGTTGAAAAACGTGAATCCGAGCGACGATTTTCCAGATTTTCTTTCGAGCGACGCCGGTCATGCGTCCTCCTCTTCGTCGGGCGAATATAATTCCTCCATGCGCACCTCGACCGAACACACCTTGACGATTCGTCGTCGGTCTAGCCCGGGGAACGGAGTCTCCGGTCCGGTTTTTACTCCAGGGAACGTGTGCCTCGAAAGCCAACGGCGCGGCGCGTCCGCTGTCTGACAGCGGCTGGGATTGACTCATGCACGTTTCTATTCCGACCTTTCAGGATTTACCAGATGTCGCCGACGTGACTCGCGGCCGCGTGACGTTCCTTGTGCGAGTGCACGCGTTTCATCCCTTTCGAGCTCGTTTCAGGAGCGAGGACCTCCGAGCCGGAACCGCTTCTTGCGCGAGAGACGAGAATTCGTTTTTCGCGAATTCTAGAATAAATGTGTTCTAAATTAAAATTTAATGTTTTTATATGTCGGAAATATATCGCACATTATTTATGTGTTTTGCAGAAATAATGATAAATTATTTATTTTCGGATCACGTGTGCAGATACATATTATGTTTCTGTCAATTATATTATGATGTAAGAAAATAGGTGTATAACATTGTGCATAATAGTGGTAACATATTGGAACAGCCAATCAAATTTGGGTCTAAATGCACTCGCTTATTACGCATTCACGGGAATGTTATATTTGTCTTATTACATAAATTATCCTAGGATAACACATAAACGCGATATGAGTCTAACGTACGACAGTAAGATAAAGCGCGATAGCTGCAAATTGCATGATGTTTAATTTAAGTAAAAATAAGTTAGCTCATTTAATCGAGCAAGCGATCTAATCGAAGTGTACGTGTTGATCGGGGGTCTAGGCAGATGTTTCCTCAGATGAAGTTTCGAGTTTCCGGTCTGGATGCCAAGGCCAAGTACATCCTTCTACTGGACATTGTCGCCGCCGATGACTACAGATACAAGTTCCACAACAGGTAGAGGTTTTGTGTGGTGTAGGAAAAATAAAGGTGGACTCATAAAAATGTAAATGTCGCGGATAACTCGTGTTAACGATCTCGAGCATTTTCTAAACTACGATTTCTTAACATGTACGACACCGACTTTTATATCTGTATTTTTTTTTGTGTCTTTTTTTACTTTTAATATTCGAAAATCTTCTTAAACACAGATAGCTCTGTAGAACAGAATTAATGTTTTCTCACTTGTCGAGATCGTTAAAATTGGTTGTCCGATTAACATCGCCGTATCCGGAGACGTTGATTTTAAGCACGGCTCTCCGTTTTCACGGAGAACGTTAAACTTAGCAGTGAACGGCAAAACTAATGTACGGTGTGTCTTTTTGCGATTGCAAAATTGTTCGCAGACGCATGTTTCCCGCGTATAAAGTGAGGGTGTTCGGATTAGACAAGCAGGCTAGCTACATACTTCTAATGGACATCGTGGCATCGGACGAATGCCGATATAAATTTCACAACAGGTGATACTTTGTGCGATCGTAGCGATTCTGGATCATTCTTTTTAATTACGAATTAAAATTCTTATATACATTAATAGTTGGAAAACTTTTTGGAAGGTACATTTAATTAAACATTTCTTTGGCATAAAAAGTACTGTAGATAATTTTCGGAATTTTGAAATAATGATCCTGGATTGGTCCCAATCGCGAATAATACTATCTGTACCAGGAAACTCTCCTGAAATATAAGTGTGGAGCGTGCGCTGCGAACAATTCCTCATACTCGTCGAAGATAATTTAATTATTTGTAATTCTGTGCAACCTTTTCGCGATCTTAAATATGATTAATTCAATCCGCCGTGCGTAACAAATCCACGTTGAATTTCTGCATTTTTTGTGTGAAAAATCGGTTATGGACAATACACATTGAAAATTTATTTTTAAATGTTTAATTAGTAAATATCTATTTTTTTGTGTTCTTGTGAACGAAGCAATATTTATAAAAAAAATAATAATAATAATGAATGTTTGATTCTCTCGCAGAAGTGCCACATAAGGGACGGTCCCATGGGAAATTATTTCGACTTGTATGGGAATCGCAAGCCTTCACATTAGTTAACCGAGATGCTTCGTGAATTTCATTTCTCTGTATTTCTCAAAAATTTCCGTGCATATATACGTTCCAAATAAATATTATAATTCTCTAAAAATTTTGTTAAACAGTCGCGCGTTAATAATCATTATCATATTTATCGCGATTTGTGATTTAAAAATAACTTTCGCGTATTTGCTCGTTTTCGTTTAAAGTTTCTCTCGAATTTGGCCCAGCGCAAATATTTGCTTAGCTACAAAAGTGAACAACCGTGTATTTCTTTCACGTACTTTCGCGCACTTTTCGACGACGGCACGGCACCGGAAACTTTTTCGCAACAGACGTCGACTTGTTCCGACAGAGGGACTCGATTAGCGCTCTCCATCTTGAGAAAACTCTTACGAGGCATCTCGGTTACCGATGTTCGGACGATCGAAACGCAGATCACAATGAACGATTACATCACGTCGGCGACCGCAGCCACTTTGGAACTCGTCGGACGAGTTCTTCCTTCGATCCTTTGCGCTCGAGTTTGACCCACCTGCGACGACGGGAAAGAATACGAACGGTGGACACGCCTCTCTTAAAAGACAACAATCGTGTCTGGTTGATGCTCGCGGCGAGTCGGAGCTACTCAAGCCAAGGAGGAACACTAAACAATTCGAACCTTCTTTCGGCTCGTTCTAGTAGATCATCGGTTTTGTCGTCTGAGTTGAGAGATGCTTAAGCGAGTTACCATTGCCCTGCGAGAAAATTGTTGGAATCTGCTCGATTATCGGAAACACGATTAGCACGGTTCTCGCTTATATTATATAATTCTAATCGAATCTAGCTAGATATATTAAATAAAAAAAACCAACCAATGAATTATAATCTACTTTAAATAATTCGTTTCGGCATGGTGGACGTAAATTAAAAATATTCCCCATAGACTCTGTTTCGTTTGAGATGTAAAAGCTAAATCAACTATACGAGACAGAAATTGATGTTGAAATAAATTATAATCTATTCTATCGGACATTTTTTTATGGTCTGCATTTCGATCCGAGCGATTTGTCCTAAATAACGATGAAGAGCATTTCTCGATATCTTCATCGTTGTTGAGGCATGTTGTTTACATGGCGAATTGCTTCCGGTAACTTTCTAATACATTCTTACGCGTGTTACGAGCAGTAGGTGGATGGTAGCGGGTAAGGCGGACCCGGAAATGCCGAAGAGGATGTACATACATCCGGACTCGCCCAGCAGCGGCGAACAGTGGATGCAGAAGGTCGTGAGCTTCCACAAACTCAAGCTCACCAACAACATCAGCGACAAGCACGGCTTTGTAAGTACTGTACGTAACGCCAACCAAACAATTACTTACTTACTAGCTACTCTAAGCTTACTCCTTTAGTTTGCAATTAATCGCTAACTTGAACCTGCCTGAAACGTGTGTGACAGGCAGATTCAAAATTGCGAAACGGCCGCAATTGTATATGCATGCGATACTTTTCGCAATAAATTTTTCACAACGATGACGATCGATGAAACACAAATATTATTCGATCTGTTTAATTCTATGTCAAGTCTGGAAAGAAAGTATCTCATCAAGATATGACATTTTTATATCGATAAAGAGAGCTGACGCTTTGCCTAATTAATCCAATTTTAAGGTATACCGGCTTTTATGTTCGTATAATAATCCTCGCGTTAATCGCATATACACGAGTGAAGAGGCCGAAATTCGCGAAATCGATCGAAAAACCGGAAACAGAGCAGTCGCGTTCCTTCACAACGGCCCTGACGGACCCCGTCAAGCGCGCGCGATCGGATTTCTGCGCGGATACCTAACCGCAGTGTAATCCTGGGATTAAGTTATCGCGATGGATTTCGCCGTCAAGTAGTTTCACTCTTTCCCCCGCGCTTCTCGTCCGCTTCGCGCTCCTCTTATTCGTCTTCTTCCTCTCTATTAGCCTCGGCCGCCTGTCCCCTTAGTTCCCCCTCCCCCTGCCCCCCTCTGTCCCCTCCCCTTCGTTCCCGTCTTTTCTTTCTTTTCGACGCGAGGTGCGCGGAAGCCAGCATTAACTAAAGACGAAGCCTGTCCCCTTTCTGCGGCTATGGCGGTTCTGTCTCTTTCCCTATATACCTCGTCCTTTTTTTTGCGAATCCTTTTTGCGGCAGCCCGTCGGCGTCCTTTGAAGGATCTTGCATCGCTGGCTCGTGAAATCTAGTCCTCCTTACCCAGAGCCAACCCGATGTCAATGGCTGGCTGTCGTGCAGTGCGTGGCAGATCGACCTTTGTTAAAACCACTCCTCTGCCTCCTCTTCTCTCTCTCTCTCTCTCTCTCTCTCTCTCTCCCCCTCCCTCCCTCCCTCCCTCCCTTTCTCTCTCTCCCCCTACTTCCTTCCTTCTAATCTTCTTTTTCTTTCGACGTCTCTCTTTCTCTTTCATGCGTAAACACTCGCATAAACACGTCTTCGCGTGAAGAGAGAAAAGCGAATGAGTACTTATAAGAGAGTGAGATGAATACGAGGATGTGTGAATGAAGGAAGAGAGAAAGAGGGCGAGAGAGAGAGAGAGAGAGAGAGAGAGAGAGAGAGAGAAGAGGAGCTAGAGAGAAAAAGTGAAAAGGAGAGGCAAGGACAACGAACAGATTGTCGTCGAAAGGTAATGTGGCCACGACATTATGCATGGTTCACCTACAACGTATGATGGAGAGCAGCGGGCGTACGTCTTCCGTCCTTAAGGGCTCCCTCTCTCTCTTTTTTCTCTATATCTCGGTAGAGAGACAGGATCCAGTTTGTGCACGAGCCCAGAAAATACCTCTCGAAAATATCTCCCCTTTCTGGCCGCGGCTAATAGATGACAGCCCTTTTCACCTGGTCCAACCCTTTCCAGATTTACGAATGATTTGGTTCAGAAGAGTCTTTTGAAGGATTATATATTTTTTCACGCTATCTCAAAAGCGATGTCTATAAAAGCGATGCATATGAATACAAACTTGTTAAGAAAAGTGAGGATAGTTGCTTATCAGTTTAATGAAAAGTGCGTGATTTATTTTTTTTTTCGTATATGAAATTTGGAAAAATAAACTTAAGAGTGTGCGACAATCTTGACGTAACACGTAGCTTCGTATGGATAACAAATATGTCGATGGCCCGGGTTTTTATTTTATGTATGCGTTCATTTTTTGAAGATTTACTAAAGAAGGCAAAAGAAAATTGATTAGGAAAATCACTTTGGTCTAATTAATGTTTTCCGGGATGTTGCTGTAGAAAGAATTTGTACTAAAAATTTGCACTTTAAATATTATCTGTTCGAAATAGTGCTGCTAAAAAGGCTTCTTTCTCAGAGCTGTTTAAACAAATTACATAATCACAATTTCACTCTCTCTATAATGTGTATAATATGATAGAAATAACATTGAAAAAAAAAATGTAGGCGCAAGTTGAATGTAAGACAAAAATTATTACTGGTTTCCAAATCCAACGTACTTTATCAAAAAATAATGTATCTTTATATCTATATAATTATCTTGTATAGCAATGAGTCAACAGTATTAAAACCGCTTTAGAAAGTTTTATTTACAGTACAGTATAGTTAAAATGTATGTCGTATTCCCAGATCCAGAATTCGCTGTTACTTTTTCTATACGTACACGAGTCGAGATAATAAAAAGTAGAAGCATTGGACTAACAATAAATTTGAAGAATCATTACGAAACTTGACTTCGGGTTTAACTCGAAGTTTTGTGGAGATTTAATCGTCTACCTATTTAGGAAAGGCGGTTGAAGGCTTTTGAAGGAAAAGTGAGAAGAAGCGAAAAATTAGCACAAATATCCTTTTGACTCTAATCCTAGTGTTACGCGAAGGGTGGAAGGGATGACGATGCACCGGGCCTTTTGTCGGGAAATCCTAACGTGCAAACAAAAACGAGACACTACGGCCGAGTCCTTCCGAGATGTCTTCGAGAGCAATCCTAAAGGAAGGCCTAGGTCCGCGAGTAAATATCGGTGAAAGGCTGTCGAGGACCGCAAACAGGAAACTGACGGTGCGTTACCAGAACGGTTGGTGGCATCCTGGCGACGACAGCGGTTGAAAGGACCTCGTTACTCCCGTTTTAAAGCGACACCGCGTGCGCTTCTTCAGGTGCTAGTAAGCATTAAGCGTGGGAATATTTGACAGGATGAAAGTCGTAGGAGCGGAACTGTTTTTTAAATAGAAGCAGACATATATTGAAATATATGTAGTCCCATGATACATTCTACGTTTCATAAATAAATGCAATGATACGCTTTAAGAAATGTTTAAGAAATGTCATAAAAAGTAATTAGCATCTGAATCGACAGAAAGGCAAAATGTATAAGATTCATAAAAATTATTAGACATAAAATTTCACCTAATTTAATGGAAAATGTCAATATTTATTTATTCCATGTTATTTTAATCGTTATTTATTTAAAAATAAGTTTTGTTTGTGTAAAATGAGTACGATGCGAGATTTTTTCTTTGGCAATGATATAACAGGTTCACGGATACCACCGCTCTTTATTAATTGTCGCCAATCGTCTCTTTCTTTTTCGGCTAAAAAGCGTTATCATCATTACGGCTTCCCGCTAATGAAGTAGTTCGATTTGGCGAGCGATTCGCCTCGCCGCAGGACACCCGAAATACTGGAAATACTGGAATCACGAGTGACCAATTCCTTCACGTCAGAGATTATCTTTTAGACGCATTCTCTCGCTTCGGTTGCATCTTCTCGACACGATGCTTTCAATCGCCCTTACTTCGCGTACTTTAGACGATTTCATTACTTAAACATTATTCTCTAATCATATTTCTTCAAAAGTCATCGTTGTCGTTTGCACACAAAAGTCTGCCGGGATGATATTTGTGAAGCGTTCCTGTAAAATAAGCACTTACGTGTTAAAATATTACGTCTTAAAATTTGATGTTTTTATCGAAAAGTGGACACTTTTATCGGCATGTTTCGTGTATTTACATAATTCTTCCGGTATCTAATGCAATCTAATACTAAATTCCCAGCTATAAAATGAATCTTGTTTTATTCAAATGTTAGTATGGTGTACATGTATCGATTCGCAATAATCTTTTATTTCATTTTTCTTCCGCATCTAAATACACTCGTCCATCGTGACCTACATCCAACGAATGACATTCTGATGAATCGTCTGGCGAAGTAGGTACATACAGCCGAGAAACTATTTCATAGGCGCGAAATTTCGGTATCGTTCGATACGTGCTCGACATATCGCTCGGAATTCCGTTCGAAATCAATTTTCAATTTTCGCCCGGCCGCGTGCACGGACACAGGCACAGACACGGACACAGCGCGGCAGCGGATGCATTCATACCGCGTGCGCGCGCGCACGCAAAAAAAACATCGAGAAAACGGGGGTGAATTTCTTTTTCAATTTTCCGAAAAAAATTAAAATGGGGAACAATCGGTCTGTCGAACGGAGAGCGACCGAAACTCGATCAAATGTGCCTCGCAGCTTTAATTATCCAGCGCCCAGCGGCGGAGCTTACAGAAGCACGGTCGAACGGCGCTCGTGATTTGTTTAGTAATGGATACGTGCCTGTAGTAGTGTTCGTTAGTTGACATTCAGCGATAGACCGATATGGGACGCGGCTTATCCGAGAGATAGCATTTCCCATCTGCCTGCCTCGCCGCTCGCGCCGCACTCTGCCTCTCCCATGCATGATTGTCCTCCCGCGGCATTTGCCCTGCGCATTCCATTTCCACATAAGGATCGAGATCGCGTTCTAAGTTAATATTTCATAAAATCTCTGCATTACGACATAAGTTTCGATTATTTATCCGCGAGAAACAAAGATCGCGGCTCTCATAATAACGGCTTACATGTGTATTCGCACCGCGCGGCCGCGTGCAAATAGGACACGCGGTTATCCGCAAGCCGCGCACGCTCTTGTATAGTAGCTCTTGTACAACGCGAGAAGACGCACGAATCATATCGGGTTATACATTAGATAGCCGGTCTCGTGCGAGGTTAGTTGCGTGCGTCGCGTCAGTCGCGTGCGTCGCGTCGCGTCGCGTCGCGTCGCGTGCACGCATATACGCACACTTGTTCATTATGATGGCTTCGCGTGTCTGAGGCGTCGTGCATGCATGCGTGTGAGCTTCGATTCTCGGCGGTGGCTCGGGAGCCATTTTGCTGTCCGCTGGGCGAGCAACACCGATTCGATACGTGTCGTGTCGCGGACATTAAAGCCTGGCCGCGCGCACTGCATGAGGATTAGTCACGAAAATTGCAACGAGATTGCGCGCGATTTGCATCGCGCGACTCATCCGCACGCGGAAG